CTGTTAATAATCTCACTTGTCACATGTAGTCACGTTTCCCTGCTTGCTCACGTTTCCTTCCAGCTCTGGGACCACCGGGCGGGCAGGCACAGGGCCACCATCCCTCCGGCGTCTGCCTGCTGGCGGCGCGGGCCCAGGACAAGCACCTGTTGCCTCCGCCTTGTCTGTTCCTCTGGCTGTGTCTCAGTGTGAAATCTAGTCGGGAAGTTGAGTTTTGTATTTTTAAAAAGCTAAGTGGGTCGGAGATCAATTGTCTGGAAAATGACTTCTCCATGACGAGATGACTGAGCATGAGCAGCATTGTGACACTTAGTAACTAGAAATGTGATGCCTGTCGGGACAGAGACGGGGCAGGTCCCCCCTCCCCGAGCAGAAGCCCCTCCCCACTCCGTGCCCGAGGCTCCTGGTACAAGCACTTGTCCCCTCAGCCACTGGTCTCTGGAGAAGTTAGTGGAACCCTTGCTTTGGACCTGTGGCCCAAGCTCCGGGGCAGAGCAGAAGGCAGGGGCGGGTGGGCTCAGAGTTGGTGAATTTACGCCCTGGACTTAACTTCCTACGATGAACGCAATGCAGTTATAGTCCGGTTAGGATTTTCACCCGCGCGTGCATGGTGAGTGTCCACGGTGGTGGGTGTGAAGGCCGAGGAGCAGGCCTCTCGGAGGCAGTGTTGGTTTGGTGGTGGTTTGAGCTGTGGCTTGTTCCTCTGCAGGCATCAGCAGGATTCCGATCTTTCAGTAGCATGCTCTGATGCCGACCTCCACAGACACAAAAAAAAGAAGAAGAAAAAGAAGAGGCACTCAAGGAAATCCGAGGATTTTGTTAAAGACTCAGAGCCACACGTCCCCAGGGCTGCCAGCCATGAGACTGTTGACCGTTTCCGGAGAACGGACGGCGCTTTCCCCCTCACCGACGGGCTGCCTCCAGAAGGCCTTGGGCCTTTCTGTGAGAAGAGAAAACATTTAAGGATGGGAAGCAGGGATGACAGGTGTCCTCTGTCTGAGTGTGGCCAGGGTAAGAGGCGATCCTTGGAATTAAGAATATAGAACGATTTCTTGGTGACACGGGGAAGACCCCTCAAATGGCATGAGAGGGTGGAGGCTCCGGTGCGGTGGGAGCCCCGCCGCCCTGTCCCTCCGGCCCCAGCTCCCCGGCGGAGCGCGGGCTTTGGTCATGCGGTGGGGCCGCGGAACTGGAAAACCTCGGTGACGTGGAGCCTCTGTGACGAGACAGCTGGAGGTTGTGGTCTGGGGGTGTGTGTCTTGTGAAGGACCAGAACTTCTGTTTTGAAGCCATTTCTGATAGAAATATTTTCACGGTGTTTTTTCTTTCCTGAATCTTTAAACCTCTAGACTTGTGAGAGAATATGCTACCAGTCAGTTTGAGGGCTCGGGTCATTAGGAATGTCGGCTGTCGGCATCTCGGGGAGCCTGGGTTGTGGGCTTGGGCCGGGGGCTCCAGGCCGGGGGCGCAGCAGGGGTCTGCCTTCTTACTGCTTCGCACCGCTGTCTCCGCCCTGTGTCTTCTCACCGCACTCAACACCCCCACCCCACCCCAGTCCCCTTTGGCCTGCCAGCTAAGAAAGGCTTTCTGGGTTTTACATGGTTGGAGGAACCCAAAGAGGAAGATGGTTGTTCTCTGGCCTTTTGTACAGAAACCGCCCCAGACGCCTAAGGGGCGCACTCGGGACTTTGACGCAACGTCTTGGTGACCCAGAGGCCCTTTGGTTCTTGACTGTGTCATAGACTGGGGTGAGATGTCATGTATTTTGAGGGCAGACCAATCCCTTCAGTGACCTGTGGTCAGTGTGGTTGACCGAGAGGGACGGAGGGGCCCCGAGCACGAGGGAGGCATCGTCCCAGTGGGAGGGGACTCGGGAGGCTTGGGGCAGAGAAGAGTGGCCAGGAAGCGATGCTGGGCTGTTGTCTGCTCTGGGCTTTATGATATTTGTTGTATGACTTTTCAGATTGGTTTCCCATGAACTTTTAGGTGATTTGGGAAAGGGGCTTGGCCTGGTGAGGACTGAGTCCCTCTGACCACTACTGAGTGCCTGGGAAGATGTGGTGGGCGGCCGAGGGGTTCTGCCTATTGCCGGGCCCTTCCCTCCCGACAGCAGGTATCCTGTAAGAACCACGGTCAGTGGCTGCCTGCGCACAGAGATGGCTCCAGAGGGAGAGCAGGTTGAGTGTGGACCTGAGTCATTGGTATTTGGGGGCCACATGTGTGTCCCTAAGGGCAGCAGTAGGCTCTGTGTCGAGTGGTGGCCCTTTGTGTCCTTTGTGATTGCACTTGATGGCTGGTGTGCGGCCAGCGCTCCCGGGGAGACCAGACGGAGGAACCTACATGCCGGTCCCATCCTGTCCTCTTCAAAGACCGGGACCACCTGCTTGGCCTTCTCTGCCAAGCGTCCCTGTCTTCTGGCTGAGGATGACAGACCTTTTTGCCCATGTGCCACGTGTCCCTTACTCCTGGTACCTTGACCTCTCAGACTCCTGTCTTCCGGCTCCATGACACGCTCCCCTGGTTTCTCGGGCCTGAGATCTGCTCTCGTGCTGGGACCGTGCTGATCTCTGCCATCACAGAGGGCCTTGTTGTCGGTAGAACACTTGGAGAGCAAGCTGTGTGACAGTCACGCATGCTCGTCCTGTGCGGACGCATTTCGGGCAGCGAGCCTCCAGCCGCTGAGCCCGGGCTCTAATTGTGATCACTCACGCACACACAGCACAGGCACAGAACATTCTGCAAAACCGTCATTAAAATCTCTTTCCTGATCTTTGCTTTCTAGGTGATTGAAAACTTGGCCTCAAAACAAAAAACTCACTAGTTATGGTAAGCGGTTTTCCTGTCTGTACGTTTCATAACTGCTTGTGGAGGTGCCGCGGGGCCGCAGAGGAGCGTGGGGACGCTGGGAGCAGGTGCAGGATGCTCCCCCAGGCCAGGCTTAGACCTCACCCCTCCTCCTCGGCTCTGGGCTCCTTGACCCCGTTCCCTCCTCCCGCGTTGTAAGAAAATGAGGGCCAGTTGGAAGCGCCAGGACCCACACCGGGAGGAGCCCCTTTCCTCAACCCAGCCTACCCTGTTGGCCTGGGAGGGGAGCCCCCCCAACCCCTAAGCCTCCATTCCTACCTGCAGAATGAGGGGTCAGCGGACCCCGCGCAGACCTGTTCCCCTGCTGGCGCTGCGTCTGGTGCGCGCAGACCCAGAACCTCCCCCCTGCTTTCAGACGGGAAGGACTTTGCATTATTTGAATGAGGTTGGGGTGCTTCGTGCCAGGTCAGGACTTAGACAGTGTCTGGTGTCCCTGACACTCCCAGACTCTTGACGTGGTGGCTCGGGGAGAGAGTAGCGCAGGCCTGCGGGTGCCCCGGGAGAGTGCCCTTGTGCCCGGAAAGGGAGTGCTGTCCGGTGTGAATTCGAGGCTGCAGAGGGGGATCGGAAATGGATTTCACTGGAGTGTCCGCGGAGGATTAATGTGCGGTTAACTAGCCTGCCCGTCCGTGAGTCTTAAGGAGAAGATCTGAGCCTAATTAAGGAATCAGACTCTGCGCCAGCGACAGGGAATCGGGATGGAGAGGATTAGCGGCCGCTGGGCTGGGCCCAGCAGGGGGCTCCCTCCGCGCTGACTTGCCGGAGCTCCCGGTGTGGGAGAAAGAAGAGCTTCCCCGCTTCCCCAGAGAGCAGCGAGCAAGGCCCAAGGCCTCGGCCCTGGGTGGTGGTAGGGATGCCGCCGGCTTCCTGCCCCTCCTGCCCCGGGAGGCACTAACGCCCGCCGCTTGCCGCCTCTTGTCTTTCAGATTCAGCGTGTTCAACAAGCCATCCCCAGCCCAGCTGAAATTATAAACGTAGGAAATAACTCGGTTCAAATCTGCGTGGTGCTTCTTTAGTAAATACTGTACAGATTTTACCATGGAGGACTTTTTTTTAGTTTTTACCTTTTCTTAATTACCCTTATTCCAAATGGACGGACACTTTGTACAACTGCTGACCATTGCAAACGCCGTGTATATAAGTCCCACGGACAGTGACAGTGACGCCCTGGACTGGAACACCTCAATGCTGCTTAATCAGACTCAGGTGGACTGCTCGCGTTCCATGGAGAAGCTCCTCCGAGTCTGACCCCCGGTGCACGCAGCCGGGAGCCATGGAATCACTAAAAGTACAAACAGACTGACAGTGTGTATATTTAATTTAAAGACTTATTTAAAGATTCACGAGCTCTCAACTAGACTTGAGAGCAGTCTGTTTTCTGTAATGTCTGATACTAGAAACTAATTTGCTTCATATTTTAGTTGTATTCAAGATTTGAAAATGTATTTTATAGACAAGTTCTGTTTTTGAACTTTGTGGAACTATTCCAATCAATTTACCAGTTATGATGAGTATTTACATTATGAATGTATAATCCAAACATTATTTGTAAAGCCTACAGTATGTTTTTATTACTTAACACTTTTTTATACGGTGTCTCTTGTCTTGACTATGATATTGGAGTCTGAGTTGTCAGCTTGGTCCCTTAAAGTTTCTAGTTACAGACAAAATCATACTGTGATTTTATTTTTAATATGGATATGCTATCAAACTGTGATACACTTATAATTCACTGGTCCTGCATCAGGAGACGGAGTGGGGAAAACTGTATTTAATACAGTTTGTATCTGAATAATCTGTATGGTTTATACAGTTTGTGTTGTTCAGAGATGTCTAAAGTTTGATCTTTGTTTTTTTAAAGATTAAAAAAGCACTCGCCCCACTGTAAATACACAGCATGTAAAGTTTATATAGTATATAAATGGCAGCAAATTAAACATTTTGTGTCTTATTCTTTACCGCTGTTTTCCCCGTGTGCTTAGCAGACCCTTCTCCCCAGTGTGCCGCTGCCCTGACTTCCTTAGAAACCTCTGAGGCCCGGAGCCACAGGCCCCCGCCTCCCACCCCCCGCCCCGGGGACCAGGGGTCTGCCTCCAGCCAACCATCTATTTTCAAGAACCAAGTCCTAGACCATCTTGTGTGAACAATGCAGGTTTTATTTTGTGAACACCACATTTGCAATTTGACGGCCATACACCCTCCAACGATACAACAAAACATCGGTAACAGGGTTCTTCATGCACGTTGGGGGAGTATATACATTGAATAACACACACTCCCGAAATCCCTATGTACAGTATTTACATATGAACTATATTTACTGTAAATAGAAATGTCTAAGAAAAAATAAGAAAAAGTGAAATCACAACATGTGGTTTCCGGTCTACAACAGACCTAACTTCTCAGCAAAGCACATCTATATAGATCTATGCATTTTAACTTTTAAAAATATGCATTACTTTATATGAAGCATTAAATGCTGCTTCATCTATAAATAGCTCCTATTTTGACTCCGTTTGGTACCACGTTAAACTGTTCCAGGACGCTCCGTGATCCCGAAGACGCCATCACTCGCCCGGGTGCAGGGTAAACGGAGGCCGGCGGGGCGCGGCAGCTGTGGTCTTCCACACACAGCTCCCCCTTCTCTGCCTCCTGCCCTTGGTCTCTGGAGGGAAGCTGGTCTTTGGCCAGAGGTGGGACTAAATTCTAGCACTGGGCAGACGTGGGGGCGGGGAGGAGGAGGACCACGGCCACTGGCCTGCCTGAGCGCATAGTGGGGTGACCGCTGGCTTGCCCCGCGTGTTAATACTGTCACAAAACCTGGAGTTAGAGAATCTCACGTAACACTGACAGCAAGTGACACAGATTCTAAGCACCACGGCCTCTGCATGGTTCCTGGGAAAACAGCCATCATGGAGGCTCCTTCACAGGCGATGAGAGAATTCCTACAGGGGTTTCCCAAGGCTCCCTTCTCCCAACCCCACTGAGGCCAAACCCAGAAGACAAAGTCTGTATCCCCAGGGGCCTACCCGGGGCAGACGAGACGGGGCGCACTCCCCGGGTGAACCACCGATGCATCGCGCCCGGGGCAGCCCGGAAGAGGGGCCACCCCCATTGTCCCCGGCGGCAGCAGGGCCGGGCACCGTCGGTTTTCATGGAAGACTGGAGGCCAGAGTTGCATATATACCAGTCAGGCATTTCAAGAACGCCGACTTGCCTTTCTCCAAAACCAAAGTTTCAAATTTGAGGTATCAGAACAATAAGAAAGCCTAAAAGCTTGGGAACGAAACAACAAATCAGTTTGAGGCATGTCAGAGAGGCCTGGGCTCAGACCCCTTTGCATCTAGCATGACTTAAAGCTACGTCAAGGTCAGTGGTGCCGAGGCCAAGGGCCCGAGGCCAGTCACTGTCAGCACCAAGGCAACTCGCAAAACAGTTACTTCTACTTAAAATCTTCACGCAGGTGCTGACAGTCCGAGCGAGGTCCACTTTCTGGAACTTCCATCTTGCACAGGATAGCTCGTGACCTCTAAAGGGCATGGACCTACAGGGACCCACGACCTGAATGTGGCCGGACCTACAGGGACCCACGACCTGAATGTGGCCGTCAGGGTCCTGGCGGCATCTGGCCCCGACCCCATCCTGAAGAGGCAGAGGTTTTGCCCCAACACACAGGACCCTAACGGCGCCCGGTCCTGCTCTGATCCCCAGCCTCCCTCGGGCCGACGCCCTGAGCACCTAGTAGATCAACAGCAACGTGACCACTGCCTGATCGTGAACCTTCTTAAGTTCCACCACTAGCGTGCGTCTGGGCTTTCACGCTGTTTACAGGAAACCCTAAGTGCCACGCGCCTTCATCCCACTGCATGCCCTTTCCATCCTCAGGGCAAGAGCTTGAAGTCTCTGAAAACACGGAGTTAAGATTGGCTCTGGGTACTCGTCTACAGGGCACGCTAAGAGACCCGACCAAGCTACTGGGTCAGTAAAAGAAGCATTTGTTTTGGCGAAAGGTTTTAAATAGTGAAAGCTGGTCAATCAGTCCGAACCACGGCTCCACTGAACCACATGCAACTGCCAGTTGGGGGTCAAAACAGTCCAACAGCAGCAGTCTCACGGGGCTCCCCACACGCTGCGTGTGCGGCCACAGCCCCAAGATTCACAACCAGAACCATCACTTATATTTTAAAGATGGGCCTTTTCAGAAAGTATCTGTGGGGCCACAAAGTCTGAGCTGATGAGTCCCTGGGGGCCTGGCCAGCTGGAGCTCAGCCCCTGCCCAGAGCCGTCCCTCCGCCCCGAGGACGACAACGAGGGCACCCCGCATTGCCGCCCAGCACCCACGCAGGGCGGCAGGTCCACGTATAGACGACTTCTTCAGTGCACAGTATCTACTTGTGTCCACGAGTTACAATTATAGCTGCCATTCTAAAAATACTACAGTTAGAAAGTAAGTATCCTTCGTTATAATTTCAGAATATAAAAAGGCATATAAAAGCTATAATCCTATATATCTGAGAAAAAACTCTGAATAAAAAAGTGGTAGCGTTTCCTTTCTTGTTCGGATAATAAGACAGCGGCTTCGGGAACGGTGAACGCTGCCACGGCTGCGCAAGTGCGGCACGAGCTTCCCTCCGAGGAGCCGGCAGGCGCCACCGCGGGCTGGGACCGGGAGAAGGGCGTCTGGACATCGGCCGCCGTGCGCAGAGGGCTCCTCGGGGCGGTGCTCCCACTGCGCACGTGCTGTCTCCAGGGATGTGGCGGGAGAGCGAGGTGGGGCCGGGGGTCAGGGGAGGCTCCCAGGCGCTTGCTTTCTGTTGTGGGGTCTGGGCTTCTGCTCTCACCGGTTCGGGCCAGGAAAGGTCTATTTCTTATTGGCAATCCTCCTCTTCCTCGTGGCCAACATGTCATAGAAAGGATCCCTGCTGATGCTCGCTCTGCGGGGGAAGCGGGAAGTAGGTGGAACACTCAGGCCGGGATACTGCAGTCCCTCCAGGCAGAGTGGCCGTAAGCCTCCGCGTCTCTGCCAGCAGCGCGGGTCCAGCACACCGATGTGCATGTGCGTGCGGGCAGGCATACACATGTGCGTGCACCCACTGCCGCAGATGCATGCACATATGTGCACACCTGGGCACGGAGGCACGCGGGTGTACCCACCTGGTGCACACACGTGCCTGTACGGCCACACAGGCAGGTGCGCGCCCACATGCACATGGGTACGCCCACGTGCACCGAGAGGGCCCGAACTGGGGACCCCGCGCACCTGATGGACTTCATCCACTCCTCCTTCTCCTCGGGGCTCGGGGCGGAGATCCGGTACACCACGTGGTTCCCCTCCACCACGCGGCCGTCTGCCTCCGTCTTACAGGCCTTGATGACCTGACCCTTATGGCTCGGGTTATAAAGCTCGAAACAGTTCTGGCGGAGGCAGGCAGACAGACAGCCTTCAGGGCGCGCTGGGGAGCCGCGGGGAGGAGGCGGCGGGGGAAAGGCCGCTTACCGGCTTGCGCGGGTCCTCCACCTCCCTGATGCTGAGGTTTTCCAGGGGGATGATGCCCCGGGGCTCCTTGTCCTACGAGAGAAGAGGGCACAGCCAGCCTCGCCTGGGCCGGCGGCACAGCGGGGGTAGGGACCCTGGGCACAGAGCCGGGCGGCCTGCCCCATACTCACCGTCGTGTACTCGAAGTAGTAGAGGCAGTTGTCGGTCAGGATGAACCAGCGCCGCTTCCAGGTCTTCACCCGCCCTCCTAGAAGCGGAAGGGGCTCGTGAGCCGGGGCGGGTGTGGGCATGGGACCCGGGCCTACAGATACCTATTATCACAAATGCCACCAGGAGCGGGGCTTGGCCTTCAGCTTCCTTCCTCGCGAACTCGATCGACACTCCGCCCAATACTCGGTCACGTCCTGGACGAACCGAGCCATGGCCGGTGCCCTGCAGACCCCTGTGGGCGGCTGGCGACAGGCGGGCCCCGCATGCAACCCCACCGTGGCCCCCTGGGCCACCTCTGTAACTCAAGTGCATTCCAGACCTGCTTTCGGGGAAAAGTTAGTCATGATGAATGGGCTTAATTTCCCCGCATGGAGATGACAAGATGAAGTCAGTGGCGTCCCCGGGGCCTGTCTGGGACATAATCCCGTTACCTCAGGGCTCTGGGTGGCCCTGGGATCCATCACCATCAATTACTCCTCGTCTGGGAATTAGTAGATTGAATTAATCTCTTAACAAGATCTGTGACGCATGGAAACATACACACACACACACACACACACACACACAGAGCTCATCTGCACCTGCTCTCCTTTCACTATGGAAAAGGAAATTCTTTTTTCCCCTTAAATATTTGGCACAGACTGGCTTCAATTTCTAGCCCTTGCTTTTGACATGAAGTTAAAACAACAAAACCTGAGGGGGACGACCCACGTGGTAACAGACTCCAGCCACCCAGGGGCACGAGAAGTGACCCTCCCTGCCCGGTCACTCCCCAGGGTGATAGCGGGTGTCAAGCTCACCACCTCTATCTGGGTGAAGTGTCATGAGGGCTGCAGGACACAGGCATGGACACAGGACAAAGGAAGTTATGGGGGAGGGGCGTGGAAGGATAGCAAGGGACACTTGCCAGCTCCCCGGGTCCCCCTGGGGTGAGGCAAGAGGGTGTCCTGGCCCTGGTGTCAGCAGAAACCCTGGCGGACAGGACGCCACCCAGCTTTAGGGGGAGAGTCAGTGCCACTGGCCAGGCCCTCAGGAGACCCCTCTGGGCTCCCTCACCCCCTGCCTCCCCAGTCAGACACCTGCCCTCCTCACGACGGCCTCAGGTGGACTGGCTGCTGCTCCTCTCTCCCCAGCAGACTCCCCAGCTCAACCCCCACCCCGGGGTCACTGTCAAGAGGGTCTGACGGTGTGTCACACCCAGGTCCCAGCTGCACCCTCCATGCGCCCAGCCTCCACAGCTTTTGGGCCTAGAGTCACGTCGCTCCCCTATATCTGAGTCCCCACTGGACCCTCGTTCCCCACACCCCTGGGCAGTTCTCTCAGTGCCCTCCCCACCCCCACCCCCCACCCGAATCCTCTGCTCTCTCCAGACGGGGCCTCATTTACTTCTCTGAAGACCCAGCACAGGCTTTGCTTTAGCAACCCTCATGGACACAGCACTCAAGGCCAGGTTCTCAGGGAGGGGACCTCAAGTCCTCCCAGCGATGGGGCACAGCACCCTCCGCATCCCTCCCACCAGGTCTCCCCCGCTGCAGTGGTGCCGGGCCGGCCACCAGCCCTCTACCCCCAGGGCCTGCCCTGCCATGGTCCCCCAACAGCGGCCAAAGACATCCTCTGAAAAGGTAAGTCCATCCCGGCTAGCGATGCCTGAAGCTCCCAAAGGCTCCCATTCTCTTCAGCCAGAGACCCCAACCTCCAACGGCCTCTGCCCAGCGCCCCTGCCCTTCCTTCCAGCCACCGTGCTGGCCTGAGCCCGGACTCTCCCGCCAGCACCCGCCGTCCACTGAGCCCCACGAGCACCTTCTCGGAGAATCCTCCCAGGGGCTCCTGTCCAGCACCCCCTCTTCTCTGCGCTCCCGCCACTGGGTCACTAGGTGGCAGCCTAGGCGTTCTGCTCTCCTCGAGGCCCCAAGAGCAACTGTGTGACAACACCCGCCAGGAAAAGCGGGCTGGCCAGGAAGGCTTCTTAGCATCTTGCCCCTGGGCTCCTGCCCCGCTGCTCCAGGGGGTCAGTGGCACATCCTGGGTGGCCCAGTCCCAGGTACCCTTACAGCACAGAGTGTGGGCTGGGCAGGGGCTCGGGGGCGGGAGGGGGTCACACCTTTGGTCTCATAGGTTTGGCGACAAGAGAAGAAACGGGCTGTGCCTCTGTTCCTGGCTGAGCTTCGGGAGCTGGGGACACACACACCACCCCAGTGCTGCCTGCAGAAAGGAGCCTGGCTTCCCCACCCTGTGAACCTCCTCCTAGTTCCACGGCCATTCCCGGGCACACACACGTGGGCACAGCACACACGCACACCCCGCAACATACTCTCTACGTGACAGCTAGCTCTGACCCGCGTCCCTGTGTTTTTAACACAACAGACGCATCCTCAAAACTTGGTGACTACGAGGCACTTCCTTGGTCGCCCAGCAACGCTACAACGTCCCTACGCTCCCGCAAGCACCCAGGCCTTCCGAGAGTGCCACGTGCCCTGAGACTAAGTTTACGATGAGAACGGCTAAGCAAGGTCAGGCAGTGACCTCTTTCGATTTAAGCGTGTGCACAGAGCACATGTTTTCGCCTGTGCCATAAGCCCATGTCCGCCCTGTGCTGGGTGGGGGCCCAGGGCCGAGTGCAGAAACAGCACCTGGACCAAACTACCGCATCTTCAGCATCGGCTTCCAGCAGATTTACTGCTTTCTGGGCCCTCGGAACCCGACACCATCCGCCGTCCCTGGTGGCCAGGCCAGCATCAGAACCGCGGGTAGGCAGCCTGTGGGCAGGACTGCATGCAGGCCCCAGCAGCTCTGGGGAGGCCAGTCCCCTGGGGAGCCCGCTGTCTGGCTGGCTGCAGCTCTCTGCTGCCAGAGAGACTATCAGGGCCAGGGCGAGGCAGCAGCGGACTTGCTGGGGGTCTGGGGAGGGGGCTCCCGGGCAGTCTCTCTGCTGGCCGGCGGGTGACCCATCAGAACTAGCTTAGTGACTGCTGGACCTCCCCTCTCACGCATGCGCACACAGCAGTGGCACATGGAAGGGGCAGGCTGCCTGGGGCTCCTTGGCACCCACTCAGTGCCCAGCCGGCTCTGCAACCCCTCGGGGTGCTCTGGACGCCGGTTCTGAGGCCCAATTGGATGTGCAACCAGAACACAGGCTGGGACATAAGCCCTGCTGCGCCTTTATGTCCCTTGTTTTGTTCTGTCTTTAGAAGCAGGTGCATCTCCTGTGGGCGCTGAGGCCATACCAGCTGCTGGGCAGGCTTATGCCACCACCACCCTTCGAGGGGTGTTCCCTGGCAACACAGGAATGGTAGGGGCCTGGGTGCTGCTGCAGGGGTGTTGGACACATCCCTGCTCTGGCCTCCCTGCCAGGGCCACAGAACTGATGTGACCTGAGAGTCAGATGCTTCCTGAAGGGAACTGAGGCCTTCGAGTCCATGGCTATGGCTCTGGGTTTCTAAGCAAAGGTCCGAAACTCTCCCAAACCTCAGCACAGCCAGAGAAAAGTCAGCAAAATCCTAAATCAGAACGGCGGAGCCGCGCCCTTCACACCTTCTTACCCTCCCCTGGATTAACAACTCACAATCGCTGGAGTTCTCTCAAGCCTGGTGTCCCTACGATGTGCCCTCAGAGAGTCCTGATGACGTACAATTGTCACACGTCACAGTAAGGCCAAGATCCCACCCCACCCGCCAGTATAAAAACAAAACAAACAAAACCCTCCTACCAATTCCTAAAATTGCCCAGAGAATATCAACGCTCTTCTATTTCTTTGCCAATGGTCAGGAAGCCTTTCAAAGATCCCCAGACCCTGTCCGGGGGTGGTGCAGACATGCACTGTTTGGTTAGTATGAGAGGCACCCGGTGAGGCACGGAATTGGACAGGTGACCAGCAGGCTCGTGGCCGCTTGGCCCCTCAAGACACAGAGGGGCAAGCTTGTTCCCACACGACATTCCCATGCGCTCCCGGGCGCACAAAGGCTGGCATTCCGGCCACCCCGGGGCTGTGGGTATCACATTCACTGCACCCTGCATGACGCTAACCCCAGCAAGTCCAAAGCCACATGGGTCAGATGGATGGCAGCCACAAATCAGAGCTTCACACAGACCAACGGGGGAGAGAGACTGAGAGAGGAGTGAGCAGCTGGGGGAGGGCAGGAAGCCACTGGGTACGTACCTCCTAACGCAGAACAAGCAGGGACAGCCCGTCACAGAACAGAAAGGTGGGAGCCACAGGCAGAAGGAAAACAAGAAGGCACATTTAAACCACGCATCAAAAATCAGCCACACCAAACCAAGAGAGAGGCACGCAGGTTCTCGCAGGGAATGCACCTGCGTCTGGTGCAGAAAACTGCCTTGGGTCTATCTGGACACTAACTGAGCAGTTTTCTGGGACGCTCGTGCAGCCCGGGCGTTATTCTCCGCCTTGGATGCGGATGGGATGGCCTCGTGCGGACAGGGCAGGGCTCAAAGCGGCAGCCATCGAGTCTGGGGTGAGCGGCCGGCCACCACGGGTGGACTTGGCCCAACGGCCTTCCCTTTTAACGTTTCCACCTTTGGTCAGGGGCCTTGGCTGCCGAGGGCTGGGGGCTCCGAGCGCGGGTCCCGCCCGCCGGCCGCCACTCACCCAGCTTCAGGAGCCAGCCCTCGCGGTCGGGGTTGAAGAACGTATGCGTCAGGTCATTGCCGTCGTCCTCCGGGATCTTAAACGGCTCATTCTTGATGCTCTCGTACAGGTTCTGCGAGGGACATGGGTGACAGCAAGCTCAGCGATGCGGGCCGGAGGAGAAAGGGCCCATCTGCGCCATGTCCTCGAGGGTGGCGGGCGCTGGGCTCAGTGTAGCGAGGGCCAGTGCGGGACCCTGAGGGCAGGGTGCTCACCCGCAGCAGCTCCTCCGGGAGGTCCCCTCCCTCATTGATGCCACGGTTCATGGTGACGAAGCGCTCGGCCGTGGGCTTGTCCCGCACGTTGTGGTTGTGGAGGCTGGTGTTGAGCATGATGATCGCAAACGACAGCACGTAGCAGGTGTCTGAAAGGGCAGAGGGCGCGAGGGTGCTCAGCCGCCTGCCACGCCAGGGGCGGCAGAGCAGAGAGCTGGGGGTGCGCTGGGCGGGCCTCACCCACCTGTGGACTGGAAGACGCCGGGGTTGCACAGGCAGTAGCGGGACGCAAACGCCTCCATCATGCGGTCGATTTTCTGAGCCTCGCCCGGAAGTCGGAAGCTCCACAAGAACTGCCTGCGGAGGGATGCATAGGAGCAGATGGTGGCATTTCCACAGTCAAGGCCACGGGGACACAGGACAGCACGGGCCGCAGAGGGACTGAGGGTACTAGGGGCAGCCCCGAGCTGTTCACTCCTGGGCTGGCTGGCAACGCCACCAGGAGCCCTGGCTCTGGGCCAGAGCCTGACCAGCTGGGAGAAACGGGCTCCGGGCTGCTACAGACACGCCGTGGACACAACCAGACTCGCAGACCTGTGCCGCCGTGTGACACACCACACCTCAAACTCCTGAATCCCAGCTGCACGGCTGATATGCATCCACGCTGTGTTCAGGCCAGGTTGAGGGCTACGCATGGGGAGAAAGGCCCAGACCAGGACCTGACAACAGGTCCGTCATGCCCTTCGCAGCCGCAGGTCAAGTGGGGACCTGCTCCCCTCAAAGACCCAGACCTGACGGAGCCTGCACGGCCCTGGCTCAGCACACAGCCATCAGAGCCGCAGCCAGGGCACCGGGAAGGAAACGGATCATGTCGGTGCTGCAGGAAGAGCGGAGTGTACGGATGGCGCCTTGAGGGGACGAAGGGGCATCTCCACGGCAGGGGCCAGCGTAACTCAGGGCCACAAGGGAGTGTCTAAGGGCCATCCTCCTGCATTCACTCTTATGTCATGAAGTGACACCTGGCTTGACAGGGACCAGGGGGCCGCCTCTGATGGCTGAGCATCTGCAGGCTCCCTGTTACATTTGGTGGGGGAGGGGCATCCATGAGGCTGGTGACTTAGACCAAATGCAGTGGGAGGCGGGCCTGTACCCGGGTGGCATAGAGACCGAGCTGCAGAAGTGGGAAGAAAGCATGTACGTGGCCGTCAAATGCCGGGTGAGAGCAAGGAAGAGCAAAGGGGCTAGGAAAGGAGCACACAGCCAGTGGTCCCACCGGGGCAGGCGCCAGCTCGGTCTGAGAGTGCCTCTCCCAGGCCTTTGTGGTGTGAGCACCTGGCCTCGGGCTTCGGCTGACCCCCACCTTCCCGCAAGCGGCCAGTGCTCTAACACTTACCTTAAGGCTTGGACGAGGTTCAGATCAGCAAACTCATGGAGCTCGACAAACGCTTGAAGAACTTTAATGTTGAAATCGTCCCTGGGAAAGAAAGCAAATGTGGTCCGAGGCCACTGAACAGGATTTCAATCCTTCCAAAAGGAAGACCTTTCTTACGATGAGCACCTGTGGTTTCTCATGCTGTGCAAGTGAGTTACGATCTGTTTCACTGCAGTCTGGGCTCAGGCTTCAGGCACAAGAGACTTGGAAGGACATTAGTATACACCCCAGTCAGGGTGCAGGGAGGCCATGGGGAGACCCCGCACAGCCACCACGGCCATGCCCGGCCCATGTGGCAGCACAGGGTTCCAAGGGCAAAGCACACATGGTCTCTCAAGTGTCCCAAACAGCAGCCCCAGACAAAGTCCCTGCTTCACAGGTGGGGCTGCGGGAGCCCAGTACCAGGTCAGAAGCTGGGTTGTTGTTTTTTTTAATGTTTTATTTCTGAGAAGGAGAGAGAGCGAGCATGAGCAGGGGAGGGTCAGAGAGAGAGGGAGATACAGAATCTGAAACAGGCTCCAGGCTCTGAGCTGGCTGTCAGCACAGAGCCCGATGCAGGGCTTGAACCCATGAACTGCGAGATCATGACCTGAGCCAAAGCCGGACGCTTAACCGACTGAGCCACCCAGGCGCCCCAGAAGCTGGGGCTTTTAAAACCAAACTAAATGTGAGAATAAATGGCCTGAATTTTTAACATAAATATGAGAGGCCAATAACATGCTTTGCTAGAATTTCACTCCACGCTGCTTCCTGAGGTTGTGGTCACAAGGGACAGTAAGGACACCTTGAGCAGAAAAACGGTGTGGTTGCCACAGGGCAGTGTGGCCTCAGCATGGCCTTCCCCTCAGAGATGCCAGGCTGGCGTGTGATCTGTCAACCACAAGGAATGGCAGTGGCTCAGAGCCACCTGCAAAGGGGACACTGGCAGCCACCCGCAGTGCTGCACGGGCACAGGCTCAGAGCACTTTACCCTTCATTCCCTGACCGGCACTGGACTGGGGGGGGGGGGGCGCTGAGGCCGTGGGGTCCTGTGCACACAGGGTGCTGAGGGAGCGCCCCAGGAAGCAGTGGGAGCCGTGAGCAGGCAGCGACAAGGCCGGGGGGGGCGCCCCAACACCGCAGGAGTTGGCCCACATCTGGACATGATGGTGGCGGCTGTGCTGTGTGCAGAGCACCCAAGGAGTGGCAGCAGGCGGCCAGGTGAGAGCCAGAGGGTCTGCATTAAGGGCAAGCCCCCACCCACGTTCCAATTGCCTGGCACTGGGGTGCAGGGAGCCTTAGGAGGACAGCCAGTTACTGCACGTCCCCAGGGAAGAAGCTGGGCGCCTCCAGGGCTCACAAGTTGTGCAGGCTGCAGCCCGTGTGAAGATCCGATCCAACGGTGGGACCAGAGAGGGCAAGCAAGCCCCATTCCTGGGTCTGCGCTTCAGCTCCGGCCACACTCCCCATGGATTTAAACACTACCTATGAGCCAGCCACTCTGTGGCTTCTGTCTCCTGCTGGCCCCTTCTCTGAACCTTCCACCTGCCACCACCACTGGTGCCCCCTGCCCCCCAGAGCTCAACCAGCCCCAGTGACCACGCCCACAGCTGCTGCCTACCTATCTTGATGATGGCTCCATGGCCAGAAATTCCTGCCAGTTTGACCTCAAACCTGGAACCTGAGCGCTGCTCACCCCCACCCCACCCCCAAACCCTGTCCCCCCCAGCCCTCAACCCCCAACCCGCTCTCCCCAGCCCTCACCCCTCCCCAATTGGCTCTGCTCTCCCAAGCCCTCACCCCTCCCCAACTGGCTCTGCTCCCCCCAGCCTTCACCCCAACCCCACCATGGACCCCCCCCGCCCAACCTGGCCAGAGCCACTCCCTGTTGGTCCCACTGCTTCTGCTGTTGCACAGTCGACTCTAACGTGGTCAGCTCAAGCTGTGACTCAGACCATGTCCTTCCCCGGCCCCCCGGCCATGGGCAGTGGGCACCGTCATCACCCTGAGAACCTCTGCCACCCTACCCCTCCCTCTGTTCCAGGCACATGGCCACAAACACACTGGGCAAGGCACGCTTGTGCCCCAAACACCCTCGTCCCCTCTCTGCCCTTGCACAGACGTCACTTTGTCAATGACAGGACCCTAACCAGCCTATCACAACTAGCTACTAACACCCCTACTTCGGCTCACCCAAAGCCCTTATGCGCCTCCACTCTGTCCCGTCACCTAACAAAGAACAGAAATGGTTTTCCTATTTATTATGCCCACCACGTACTGCCTGTATCGTTCTGGCAGAATACAGCTCCCTGAGTGGGCGAATCTTTTTTTTTTTTTTTTAAACACAACCCATGGGCCTAAAACAGAGCCTGGCACAGACTCAGAACTTCACATTTTTTGGAACTCAAATCCTGCAGGCACTCGGTATTTGCGGACTACAGGAAACTGCCAGACTGCGCGCACACAACTGCTGCAGTTCACCTCGCACGCCGGCCAGAGGGCAACGGAGAGCTCAGACTCTGGCCCTCTTGGAAGGCGAGACTCAAGGAGGTGCCACAATCCCCAGGTCACTCATCAGGTTTTGGGGAGAGGGGTGGCGGGGGTTCCCTTTTTAGCAGCTTTATTCAAACATAATTCACACTCCATACAACTGTCCTATGTCAAGGGTACCATTCCATGGTTTCTAGTGTATCCACATATCTGTGCAAGCATCACCACAATCCACTTCTGAACATTTTTAACATCCCAAAAAGAAACCCCATCCCCCTATCCTCGCTCTCTGCCAGCCCCAGGCAAGCACTGTCTGTTCTTTGTCTCTATAAATTCACCCTCTCTGAGCGCTTCCTATAAACAGAGCAAGACGACACGTGGTCTTCCGTGACTGGATTCTGCTTACTGTGTTCGTCCACACTGCAGCACATATCAGGACTCTGCCTGTTCTGTCTGCCAAATAACACCCCACTGTGCGAACATACCACATCGTGTTCGCCCCTCAGCAGAGGGGTATCTGAGTTGATGGACATCTGAACGGTTTCCACTCTTTGGCTATCGAGAATTAGGTGGCTACGAACATCTGTGCACAAGCAGGTGTGCAGACATAGGTTTTTATTTCTCTTGGGTATGTACCTAGGTCACGCGGTGACTTCAGTACTCTGAGGAACTGCCAGAGCACTTTTTATCCAACTGGCAGCATGACTGATTTTTTCCACATCCTTGGCAATGCTTTTTTTTAATGCGTATTTTTGAAAGAGAGAGGCAGGGCGTGAACAGTGAAGGGGCAGAGAAAGATGGAGACACAGACTCTTAACGTTCTTTTAAAACTATTGTTTATAGTTTTATAAAATTTTATATAGTTTATAACTATTGTTATAGACACCCCAGTGGGTGTGAAGTGGCATCTCCTGGTTTTGGTCTGCAGCTCCCTGACCGCTGATGATGTTGACCATCCCATCATGTGCTTACGGGCCATTCTCCTTATGACCTTATCATACGCTGACTTATAGATCTTCTTTAGAGAAACATATATTCAGAGACTTTGCTCATTTTATGATTGCCTTTTTACTACCAAGTTGTAAGAGCTCTATATTCTAGATAGAAGCCCTTATCAGATTCATACATGATTTATAAAAAAAAAATTCCTCCCATCCTGTGGACTGCCTCTTCACATTCTTGATGAGGTCCTATGAAGCACAAGCATTTTCGAGTTTGAGGAGACCCATTTTATCTACATTTTTCTTTTAATGTTTATGCTTTTAGAGTCATATTTAAGAAACTTCTGCCTGATCCAAAGTCACAAAAATTTACCACTATGTTTTCCTCTAAGTGATTTTTAGTTTTCCTTCTTACATGTAGGTCTTTGCTCCTTTTTAATTTCTGCGTATGGTGAGTGGTCCGATAATATTCTTCTGCACATGGACATCCAGTTGCACCAGACCACTGGTTGAAAAGACTATTCTTGGGGCGCCTAGTGGCTCAGTTGGTTAACCACCTGACTTTGGCTCAGGTCATGATCTCGCGTTTCACGGGTTTGAGCCCCACATCGGGCTCTGTGCTGACAGCTCAGAGCCTGGAGCCTGCTTCAGATTTTGTGTCTCCCTCCCTCCCTCTCTATCCTTCCCCCACTCACACTCTGTCTCAAAAATAAACATTAAAAAAAAAAAAAAGGCTATTCTTTCCCCCACTGAACCACCTTGACAACCTTATCAAAAATCTTTTGGACAGTAAATGTGAGGGTTTATTTCTAGATTCTCAATTCTATTCCATAACCTTTAAGTCTGTCTTTATGCCAGTACCACACCATCTTGATTACTGCAACTTTACTCTGTCTTATAATAAAAACATGTGAGCTGTGCAACTCTGTTCTTTTTCAAGATTGTGGCTATTTTAGGTCCCATGAATGTCTACATTAATTTTAGGATGAGTTTGTCAATTTCTACACAGAAGTTAGCTGGATTTTTATAGGTAATGAGTTAAATCTGTAGATCAATGTAGGTGGTACTGTCATCTTTGCAATACTAAGTCTTCCAATCCATGAAAATGGGATGTCGGTCTTTCCAATTATAAAGGTCTTTTCATTTTCTTCAATGTTTCATAGTTCATGAAAAAATGTACTTTAAGTTTATTCCTAAATATTTTCTTTTTAATACTATTACAAAATGGAACTCTTCTCTTAATATCTTCCAAATTTGTTCACTGCTACCATTTACAACTACAATTGAATTTGAGATATTGACCTTGTATCCTGCAGCCATACTGAACTTGTTTGTTAGTTCTAATGTTTTTAGTGATCCCTCAGGATTTTCTATACAAATGATTATGTCCTCTGCAAGCAAAGTTTTATTTCTTCCTTTCCAAACTAGATGCTTTTTCATTTCATTTTCTTGCCTAACTAGAACTGCCAGTACCATGCTGAAGAGAAGTGGTGAGAGCAGTCAACCTTATCTTGTTCCTGCTCTAAGGAGAAAGCATGAAGTGAACTTCATGTGGGCTTCACAGGTGTCCAACATCATGTTGAGGAAGTTCCCTTCCTCTCCTGGTGCTGAGTGCTTTTGTCATGATGCAGTGAATGAATGCCTCTCCAGCATCTACTGGGGTGATCATGTGGTTTTGCACTTTACTGTACTGATCCGGTCAGTAGGTACTTTGACTTTTGTACGCTGCACTAACCTTGCATTCATGGGGCAGTGAATGCCTCCATGGTGAATGAATGTACTGGTATATGGTCATTTTTATATATTGCTGGATTTGATTTACTAATATTCGCTTGAGAAGCTTTGACTCAACAGTCATAGGAGATACTGGTCTGTAGGTTTTTTTTTTTTAATGTTTATTCATTTTTGAGAGACAGAAACAAAGGGCAAGTGAGGAAGGGGCAAAAAGAGAGGGAGACACAGAATCCTAAACATACTCCAGGCTGTCAGCATAGGGCCTGATGTAGGGCTCAACCCATGAGCCGTGAGATCATGACCTGAGCCGAAGTCAGATGCTTAACTGACTGAGCCACCCAGGAGTCCATTTAGGTTTTTTTAAACTGTGGCTTCACAGAATGAGTTGGGAAGCTTTCTGCTTTCCACCTTCGATGAAGTTTCAAAAAGCCAGAAACAGAAAACCGCCCTGGTTGAGCCACTGTGGGGCTTTTGTTTAAAAACACTCATTTGGTCCTTGACCAAAGTCTGCTTTGGCACAACCCAGGGGCTATGCTGCCTTAGACTCTTGCCCTCACCTCTGCTAAGATGGCAAATGAACCTTTAAGTGGAGAAGGCCGGGAATGGAAATGTGACCAGCTGCTTACTGTTTAAAAAATTAACAAACTTCCCACCTTTGTTCATACCCTCGAGTAACAGGGGTAGGAAAACCACCGAGAAATCTGGTGCATTTCTGGGCAAAACACGAAAAGACTTCTGAGGGTCGGAGAAGAGCCAGCACCATCTTCAGTATTGCCGTGGCTCCCTGAGCAAAGCTCCAGAGAACACAGACCCCACGTGGCCCGGGAACAGTCACCCCTCTCCCCACACAGGGCAGAGGAGATCAAGGCACTGGACTGAACAAACCAGGACTGGGGAGCAGCACATGCGCCCCCCAGGCCCAAGGTAACTGAGTCAGACCCTGATGCAGAGGGTGGGCCCAGGTCGGACTGCTCTTTCTCCTTCAACTTACCTTTCACCCAGATAGTCCCCGATCACAGTCTTATTTAGGCCTTCTCCTTTATACAGGAACTGGGCCACATCCTCCGGGGAGCTTTGCAGCAGGTCGTTCTCTATTAGAAACTGAATTCCCTGAAGAGGAACATAAGGAAAGAAGCTCTCATTAGGAGGGTCGCCCAGACTCCTTTGCAAAGACAGAATGATGTCGAGAGTGATCTTACGGGCTGGGACACGGCAACAATAAAAGCATCCTCGGACTGTCACTCACACCCCGCAGGACATGGTATCCAGAGAAAAGCAAGTTCATTCCTCCTGGCAACTTAAGAGGCTAAAAGACAAACAGGTTGCTGGACACACCATTACAAGGAAGTTACTAGAGATTTTGGAGGCAGAAGTGACCAAAATACCGAACTGCCCAAGGTCAGGGAACAAAGCTGCTGTGTGTGAGAGGAACCCATGGTACGTGGTTGGCTAACCCACGCCCTCCCCGAGCTCCCCTTTCCTCACTAAATAATCACTTTCCCAGCCTCTCTTGTAACTAGAAGTGACCTTGTGACACAGATCTGGTCAGAAAGAAGTCTGCGGGGAGGACCTGGGGAAGGCAATGCTTTCTTGATAAAAAGGGGCTCAAGAGCGGACATTGCTCCTTCTTCCTCCTTCCTGCCGTGAATGCAGATGTGATGGCTGGAACCCTCACAGCCATCATCGGACAAGGGGAAAGGCCTGGACCAACACAGGGCCTGGGTCCTGTCACTTGGGAGCCACTCGTCACGCTGCAGTGTGAGCAAATAGCGCACCGTGCAAGCCACGTGTACCGGATTTTCTGTCAGCTGGAGCTGAACACGTCCCCTGGTCCCTGTGCCACCGAGCCCAAGACAGCGAAACTTCATGTCCTCTCGAAGGCCTTCAAGGGCATAGGTGACGATTTCTAAGTGAAAGGCTGCAGAGGGGCTGCCCTGCCCGAATTAGCCGTGCTCAGCTTGGAGAAGTCCTAATATAGCGAAAATTTACCTCGGACACCGCTTCTGAGCTGATTTCAAGATCCATGCTGGCAAAGCTCATAAAGGAAATCTGTCATCTCTTTGCTACAAACTCGGAGGTGGTTTTCCAGCTGAAATTCTCAGTGCCCAGGACCTGCGCTCCCTCACACCACACAGTCCACACTGAGCTGTCAGCATAGAGTCGGACGCGGGGCTCAAAACCACGAACGCAAGATCATGACCTGAGCCAAAGTCAGACGCTTAACCAACTGGGCCACCCAGGGCGCCCCACACCCCATGGTCCATCTGAAGTCCCTGTTATTTTTTCAAACACATGAATGTCCACAGCAGCCTTATTTAGAACTCCCCCAAACTGGGAACAACCCAACATCCAATCAGTGAGAAGAGAGAAACCTATTCTGGTAGATTCCATATGATGAGACGCTACACAGCAATGAGACAGAAGAGACGCAGGACATGGCAGGATGCGGCTGACAGGCGCGCTCCGGAGTAGAAGGACGACACAGAGCGGACCTTAATTCCATTTGCATAAAGCTCAAAGCAGGAAACACTGCTCCGTGGTGACAGAGTGGAACCTGTTCACCAACAGGAGACACAAAAGACACCTCACGACCGCATGTGGCTCTGGGTTACACGAGCCTTTTAACTTGTAAGAATTTGTCAAGCTGTGCATTCCAACTTTGTGCACCATATGCTGTTCTTCAAAAAATAAAACAGTTTACCAAAAAACCAGTATGTCTGACTCTCCTAAATTAACTCTCGTCTATTTCTGGTGGGAGCCGCGGCCAGCACAGACCCCTGGGTATCGTCTCCCAAGCGGGAAGACATGCACGTACCGTAACGAAGCATTCCAATCCCAAGCATGCACCTGTCCTACCAAGTCCCCAGAAAACAAGGCGTGGGACAAAAGTGACAACTTTTCATTGCCCCACGTGCCGTGCGCACCCAGCACTCGGGCGCGGCAGGTGCAGGAATGCGGTGAATGGGAGGGGAGCTCTGGGCAGCAGGGCAGAGGTTTACCTTCTGACTCGACGCCCCTGGCAAACAGGTCAGAGGCCACAGCCGCCCTGGTTGCCTCTCTGGACTCCGTGTCCCCAGGACTCACAGACTGGCTGTGGGTGCAGCTGGTAGATCCTGCTGCCCCCAACATTCTAAGGCATGGGGGGGAGAGGGCAGCTAAAGGAGCCCAAAGTCCCAGGACCAAGGGACTGGCACCAACAGGTGCTCCCTGGGGTATGCCTGGCTGCCACCAGGAGTGACATCCCTAACCCAGTGTTTCGTGATCACTGTGGCTGTGGCAGTGGCCAGGGTGGTGGCCTCATGGTTCTAAAACCAAAAGCTGCAGACTTTTCTGCAGCCAGTCCCCCATGGCCGCCTCCCTTCTGCTGGTGTCCCTCTGCCCAACGACCTCGCGGTGGGGGGTGCCGTGGCTCTGAGAGGGTCTTGCATCCGTCGAGTCCCGCGCTCTCTTCAGCCTCCCAGCACCCTCCGCCCCCGCCCCGAGTCTATAGGCCTAGCAATTTCCGCAGTCCCAAGGCCCCTGGGGATTCCCTCCACCTAGGCTGATGGGCCTGGGGATACGCTCTCCCCAGCTGCTCATGACCTGCTCTACAATTCCAGCACGAGGAAGCTCCTTGGGGAGGCTACGCAATAGTCTCGAACACCGGGATCAGAGAAGAGCAAGTACACTTGGAACAAGGTAACCCTTCTGCACTCCGAGGTGACAGAAGGCAGCCAGAGGAGCCCCAAGTCAGGCTCCAGCTCGCTTTGCAAGAGGCACCGGAAAACATGGAGCCAGTGGGGGCGAGCCCAGGCCAGCGAATCGAAGAGAAAATGGAGCCAAAGGCTCGAGTCAGAAAGAGCAGTTATGCAGGGGAAACAGAAGACAGAGATGGAGGAGGAAGACACAAGCCGTCCTTGTACAAGGCAGGGGAGGTGTCACCGACTATGTGACATGGAGGCTGAGACTACAGTGATGGGTCCCCAACCGGGGGACCACCAAGGACCACTGGCAGCTGCAACGGTCCGGCAGGGAGGCATGGAGCAGACCCTCTGTCAGAGCTTCCAGAAGGAACCGAGCTGCCCGCCCCTGGACCTCACACTTCTGACCTCTGGGACTGTGAGACACCACATTTCTATTGTTTTAAGCCACCAAGTCAGTGGTCATTTATTCCAGCAGCCCCAGGACCCGAATACAGTAGGTCAATACTAATAAAAGTAAACGTTCCGGTATTATTAGACATTGATTTTCTAAATAATATTTTAAAACATTAAACAGTAGAATCTACTGAAGGGGGGGCACCATTCAAATGATCACACCTACCATGCCTCTTCCTGTTTCCTCATTTTCAACCTTGGCCACTATCTGCTCTGAGGGTGTATCTCAATCAGAATACGCCCGGACTTTATTGTAGTTTTTTTAACTTAATACGAAGGTGCCTTTTAAGAGGTAACTGAGCCAAATGCATTTATGGTTATGATGGATTTGATACCACTCACTTCTGAGCCTTCACTTAGGCTGTGTATTCGTGACATCTTTTCAGCCTTCTGTTGAATTAAATTTTCTGTACTCAATTTTTCCGAGTAATTTAGAAATCCTATCTTATCCCTATTTTTGATGGTTACTCTTAAAATTTTATCTTTTTTAATGTCTTATTTATTTGAGAGAGAGAGGGGCAGTGTGAGCAGGGGATGGTCAGAGAGAGAGAGATACAGAATCAGAAAGAGGCTCCAGGCTCCGAGCTAGCTGACAGCACAGAGCCCGACACAGGGCACGAACCCATGAACCGTGAAATCATGACCTGAGCCAAAGCTGGACGCTTAAACGACTGAGCCACCCAGGTGCCCCTATAATAACATTCTTACCACAGTAAGTTGTAGAAAAGAAAATGTTACTAAAAAAATTTCATAGAAAATACATCTATAGAGCAGTACTGTACATACTGGGGGAAAAAATCCAGGTATAAGTGGACCCTTGCACTCAAACTCGTGCTGTTCAAGGTGAACTGTATGGAGATAATCTGGGACCATAATTGGAAAATATTCTTTCAACAATCCATCTCTCACTCAGACTTCACTGAACGTCTTGGCTTTGTTGTGTGTCTCCTGTCTGGTCCTGCAGCTGCTCTTGGAGCCCTGGCTCGTTCACAGGCGCACCTGCTCCCGGAAGGTCTTCGCGGTTACTTCTGGGAGTCCCTGTGCATCGGAAGTGTCCTCAAGGGTGACAGTCTTGCTACACAAAATTGTAGGTTTTAAGTCCCACCTCTTCCCTGCTGTCTTCGATTCAATGTTGCTGTGGGGATTCACGGTTCTTCTAAATCTTTTGTCCCTGGCATGTCAGGGATTTTCTCTTTATCAACAAGTTTTCTGGCATTTTACTTAATATTTCAATGTAGAAGTTTCTTAAAAATTTATTCTCCTTAGCCTTCAAGTGAGCCCTCTGAATTTGAGGATTTTATCTTAATCCAGTTCAGAAATATTCCAGTATTTCTTTGAAATACATCCTCCACTCTGGCTTCTTTTCTCTCCCCCTGGGACTTCTGTTTGGTGAAAGAGGGGCTGCCCGACCTGCCTCCCACATCTTGTGGATCTGTGCAGAGCTCCAGAGAGGACCGCTCAACGCCACGGCCCACCCTGCCCGTGTCCACACCCCCACTCCATGCTGTAGGTTTCTCCAGGGCACCGCTCTTCACTCAACAGTCAGCTGAGCGTCTGACTTCGGCTCACGTCATGATCTCACAGTTCGGGGGTTTGAGCCCTGCGTCAGGCTTTGCAGGGGACAGTGTCAATCTTTCCCAAATTCCATTTTTGCACTGAAGATAAGCAACACCCTATCATCTCTGAGGCGATTTATGATACACAAAACCGCCCGACTTTTAACCTGTCTATGGAGTTTCACATCTCTCTCACGAGGTCAAGCAGCTCATACATTTGGTGATTCCTGGTTGGGCACTTGCCTTTGTACTGACGGTTCTCTGGCAGCTGCACTGAACGCCACTTGTTTCCAGAGTGGGTGACATGCCAGGTGGGGTGCTCAGAAGCTGGTCTCTGGGAGTAGGTGTTTCTCCTCCTTGGTGAGGCCAGCCGAGAAGAGACACCTGCTTTTGCACCCAGAGGCACACGCCACCACCTGGCGCAAATGCAGCCAGGGGTGTAGTCTGGGTGTCCCCTCTACGGTCCCATGCCCCACACCTGCCACCCAAGGGAGCTGAGCCCCTGACACGCTCTCCTTTCCCGGGGCAATTTTTCCTGAGTGTGCTTTGGACTACTGCTCATCTTCTTTCTCAGTTCCCTCAATTTCTAGTCCACTGGGTGAACTCATGCTTGTCATACATTTATACGTTATATTTTTAAAGGCTTTTCTAGGACACTGGGAATAAAAGGGAGAGGCTTCAGAATGTCTCCAGCTTCCTTGACTGAATCAACTTTCCTCTTACCCATTGACACTGCTTCTGGGCATCTAATGTCCGGCACAGACAGCAGTCCCTTGCTCAAAATGTTACCAGTCAGTGACTTAAAGTATTTCCTACGAGCTGAAAGCCTTCACTCTGATGAGAGCCTGTCTCACACCACCACGCAGACTCACCGAGGCAGGTGAGGTCACCTAGGGCTGTTATGGACCAAATGCCTGGGTCTCCCCAAAATTCCTATCTTGAAGGTCTAATGCCCACAGTGATGGGGTCAGGAAGTGAGGCCTTTGGGAGGCAGAGTTAGGTGAGGTCACTTGGGCAGGGCTCTGATCTGATGGAACCGGTGCCCATGTAAGAGACACCAGGGCTCTTTCTCCTGCTTTTTCTCCGCCACGAGGACACCGTGAGGAAGAGGCCGTCTCCAAATCAGGAAGACAGCTCTCACCGGAAGCTGGCCGTGCCGGCACCCTGATCTGATTTCCAACATCCAGACTGTGACAAAGTAAATGTCAACTGCATAAGCCACCAGCCAATGGGATTTTGCCACGGCGGCCCAGCTGACCCAGCAGACTCAGGGAAGTGCTATCCTCATCTACAAAACCAGGGAATTTTGATTACTTTTCCCAGCAAAAGGCCCAATACAGACTAAATTTGCCATCTTCTTTTACTGAAAAATATAATTACAAATACATTATTGGACAGAACCTATAATGAATATTTTAAAAATCTTTCAGGTAAAGAGGTAGGTACACAAAATGAAGCCTGTTGAGCACCTCACCGCAGCCACGGCAAAGCAGGTGAAGCACCCCTTCTGTGGACATGGACAGATCCATAGGGCTGACCAGGGCTACCTACAAACCAACCCCAGCGTCCCGCAGGAGCTCAGCGAAGTGCAGTGGTTATGGGCCTGCATCTGAAGTGGATTCCCTGCTCAGGACACTAGGCAAGTCTTAGTGGCTAGATGTCGCATTTTCCCCAGCTGTGAAACAGGAATTTAAAATGGAACCTACTCCTTAAGGTTAAGGATACTAATTACAGTGCTTTGCCAGCACAGTTCCTGACACTGGGGTAAATTCAATCAACAGCAGTTAGCCCTTATTCCTGTGTATCAGATTCCTGATAGAACGAAGAGGCAGGTAAGACCCAGACAGAGAGGACTCCAGAGCGGCAGCACCACCAAAACAATAAGCATGTCTGGGGCGCCTGGGTGGCAAGGGAGTTAAGCGTCCAACTCTTGATTTCAGATCAGGTCATGATCTCACAATCCCCGAGTTCAAGCCCCTCATCAGGCTGCATGCTGACAGTGCAGAGGCTGCTTGGGATTCTCGCTCTTTCTTAAAATAAACAAACTTTAAAAAAAAATAAGTGTATTTGTGTATGCTTCATGGGGAGACCCTGAATTCAACCATGAATGCACTGGCGTGCCATCATGTGCTGTAACTTAGAACACAAGTGATGTATCTCTCAAGATGTTTCCAGTGTTTATCAAATCTGCTGATTAAGTCAACTCTGTAAACTAACTCCTAAGGAAAACAACAAAACTACTTCTAACTCCAAACCTCATGTCATTACCAAATTCATAAAATCATTCCCATCGACAATTCTGTTTCACCCCCAGAGACCAGTGGCTTTGTGTTGCCAGGTTCATTTTTCTCAGGCATTTTCCTAGAAAATCCAACTTGAGGAAAAGACCAGGTATTGGCTTAAATCAGGAGAGTTCCTAGGTCACAGGCAGAGACGTCTTCTGTGGCGAATGGAAGGAATGAAGTCCTCTGACCTGACCCATTTAACACCTACTTCCCCCCACCCACCCCTAACCCAACACGCCAGTGGCAGCCCTGCCCACTGGTTGACCAACTCCCCGGGGCTTCAAGCTGCACGTCAGTGGGAATCCCGCCCCCCCCACCACAACCGAGGCCTGGCCCCAGTGAGGCCCACACACGCCGGCTGCTCCCAGGAGGCCTGTCCTCACCCTGAGCCTCACATGCAAAGAAGGTCTTTGGTTCCAGGGACTAGGTCAACGGGTGCTTTTCCTTCCCCCCACTCACTGGGAGATCCTTCATGATAAAAACTGAACATCAACTCTCAGTATTTTTACGGGTATGACCACTTTTATCCAGAAGGAGACAGCCATTAAAACAGATGAATCACTCAATCTCCTGCAGGCCAGAAAACTAGAATGTCTGCTTACCTTTTTGGGATCCATGTTGAATTTCTTCCTCCCCATAGCTATCTGCTTGTTCCTCTGGGTAGTTTTGCTACACATTTGAGACAGTTGAGAAATTGTCAGCTGACGTTTGCACCAAGCCCAAAAGGGAGCACAGTCTCCTCTGGCACTTCTGCTGCAGAAAACCGCCCAGGCTCCCCCAGTCCTCCACCCGCCCACTCCCCACACCCCTCCCCCCATCCCTCCATCTCCCCTCTCCCCCACTCCATCACAGAAGCCGCACACAAGGCTGCCGGGCTCTTTTCTACATTTGATTACTTCTTCAGAAATAGCTAATAATGAGAAACAGTGATTTAAGGACAGCATAGTTCCCCACTGTACAGAAAGGCTGCTTCTTTGTTGGTTCATTCAGAAGGGCCTATGCTTCTCAGGGAAGGGAGAGAAGAGAAGCACCGCTACTCCTCCACAGAAAGGAGGAATGGGTGAAGGGAAGAAAGCAGAGAAACCAACCACCTCACAAAGCCCTACTTCAGGATCCCAAGCTTTCAGCCAGGGCTGGGGCCTGACCCCAAAGGCTGTAATCCGTGCCCCTGCAAGATCTGTGGCCCCGCCCCAGAGGCTATAACCCCACCCCTGCTATATCTGTGGCCCCACCCCAGAGGCTGTAATCCCCACCCCTACTATATCTGTGGCCCCACCCAAGAGGCTATAACCCCGCCCCTGATATATCTGTGGCCCCACCCCAAGAAGCTGTGGCTCCACCCCTGCTGTGGTCACCGCAGCTGGAAACAGAGAAACTGAAGTTGACTACTGGGTAGTGTGACACCAACTGTTTACCTCTCTTCCACTGAAGTTAGATTGTCAATCTCCGTCATAACTTCAGCAATTTCGTATTTCAGCCTCTGCCAAAACAAAAGAAAGAAATTTGAGGGCAGGGGTCTTTACCTTCCCCTCCTATGCTCAGAGAGATTTTATCACAGGTCTGGAAATATCAGTACTTCCTATCCATACAGAGAGAGCCTCCAGGCAGGGGCAGCCCCAGCTCTGGAGAAAACACAACTATCATCCATCCGCTCATCAAGGACAAGTTGGGAGGGGCACCCAGGCAGGTCCTCGAGTATCTGTGTACAAAATCCAGAAGGGACACTGAGGAGGACATCACAGGTGTGGAAAGATACAAGAGCAAACAGAAGTGGTGAGTCCTCAGCTCACTCCCTGCGGCTCTTCAACTCCTCTGACCTCTTGGCCGCCCCAGGCCTTGGGAAGACAAAGGAGAAGGTGCAGCTTAGACATGCAGAGACCAGTATCAGGTCCCTATCCACCATTCCCAGGGTGATGTCCACCACTCTGCCCGACAAGGCACACCATGGACAGAGCCAAGAAGGAGACAGCAGAAATCACCTGTGGCACTCGGTTACACCAAGAACACCAGAAGGGACAGGCTCCCCTGTCCCTCCATGTGGCTCTGCCACTTACTGGCTGAGAGACCTTTGGGAGCTCTCTTAAGCCTCTCTGGGCCTCAGTGTTCTTGACTCAACAATGAGGACATTAGGGGCGCCCAGGTGGCTCAGTCAGTTAAGCATCCAACTCTTAATTTTGGCTCAGGTCATGATCACATGACCTCACAGTTCTCAAGTGTGAGCCTCACATCGGGCTTCACGCTGACAGCACGGAGCCTACTTGGGATTCTCTCCCTCGCTCTCTGCCCCTCCCTGCTTGCTCTGTCTCTTAAAAATAAACAAACTTTAAAACATTAAATTAGGTCATTAGAGCTACATACGGCTCCACAGACACTCTTATTACCAACGTCCAAATAGGACCGTGAACCTTAAGGTACATTCTTATTCCTCAACCAAAGCACCTATTCTGGGATATAGTGATTTTTTTTTACAGGAACAAAGGGTAACCTTGCAAGAAAAGGTTCCACAAATTATCTTTCAAACACAAAGACATTTTTATTTGGAATACTATTCTTTTGCTCACCAAGGAAGTTCAGACTTCCAATGCGGGCTCCTGGAAAGGAGCTGCAATGTGCACAAGGCTCGGTCTTGCAGCCAGAGGCCTGAAGGCCACATTTATTCTGGCGTGACAAAGATTAGGCAGCTTCTCAAAGAAGAGCCCGGTGTCTGATTGACTCCCTCAAGGAAGTCCCAGGTGGACGCGGCTCGGGTCTCCCGAGTCATTTCTGCCACGGTCCCCGGCGCTCTGCACTGAGGCTGTGGTTGGGCCCCGGTGCTTTCCCTGCGGGCCTGCTTACTGTGTGCTCTGAGCGCACAAACCGTGCCAACTACGGTGCCTGCCTGTGTCCCGTCGCCCTGCTCCCACCGGCTGGTGGGCACCTGGGCGCCAGCTAGACCTTGATGCACGTTTACGCCTTCATTCAAAGGACATCCACATGCCAAAAATGTGATCGCGTGTTCTAGACGCCGGGGACTGTGGCAAACGAAATAGGGGCTTATTCAATTTGAAAGGGCGGTGCACTTGTCAACTACCGCTATTGTTGAGAAGTACCCTTCAGGGCTCCGGAGTCACGAGTCGCTTGCTGCTGACTCCAGTTCCGTGGTGCCTGGATCTGCACACCCCAGAGTCCACACCGCCCAGAAAGCACAACCTCTGCTTAACGGACTGGGGTAACTCTTTCCCTGTCTTCACGGATGAGGGCACAGACATACAACATACCCACGTTTCACATTTTCACGAAGCCACGTGATTATTTTACCTAAAAGCAAAAACTAAGGGAGTTTTTGGCTGTTCCTTTTTTTTTTTTTTACCTCAATGTCATCAATAAGTTCCTTTTTTCTTCGACGAATATCTAAAAGTTCTTCTCTTTCTTCTAGTGAGAGGTCTTCAGGCACTGGAAGAAAAAAAGAAATCAAATTAAACTACCACCACTCTGGGGCCAGCATCGGGTTGAAGATGGGCATCCGCACAAGCCAGCGGGGCTATGAGCAGATAGGTGGGCCTCTCTCCCCAAAGGACCCCAGCACATTACCCGCCTGCGAGATGCTCGCAGCAGCAGTGTTTGTAATAGAAAACCCACCGGATATCCACTAATAATGAATATTGGTGGTATATTTATAAAAAAGAATCCCACACAACAATAAAAAATGGCTACACTCGGTCTACCAACACACGTGTGCCTCAGACGGCAGTGCGGATAAAGCTCGAGACCGTATACGGGCCTGTGTGTAGGGGCCTAAAATCAAGCACATGCTTGGTAAATGCCCTGCACAGATGCCACGTGTGTCCAGCAGACCCAGCACACACACAGGAATGATAATCACCAAGTTCCTGACAAGGGTTCCTTCTGAGAAGGTTGGGTGGCAGAAGTATATTCCAGAACAGCACAGGGAAGGGTCACTGCAGTGGGGGGAGGGTGGCCAGGACACGGGTAACTGAATTCCTTTATTATTATTGGCAGAGAGTTGTTCATAAGAACATCATCTTATTAGTGATTGACCTCCCCTGTTCCTGCTATGTATATATTTTCTCTTTTCTTTAACTGTGTGGCAAGTGGTGTTTCATTAAGCTTTTCAAAGACATTTTGATTTTTAACACTCCCCTACTGTGCATTTAATTCCTATCTCATTAATTTGTTTAAAGAAACAAAAGGTTAAGAATTTGATTAAACAGCAAAAGAGCACGCAGAGCTTCTACAACAAATTAGGAGGAAACAGTCATGGCGCAGAGGTAGACACGCTGACCGATGCAGCAGACTGGAACCAGCACAGCACCCCAGACAGGCGGGTTAGCGTCCGACTCTGGACTTGAGCTCGGGTCATGATCTCACCGTCTGTGAGTTTAAGCCCCAAGTGGGAGCTCTGTGCTGACAGCGCAGAGCCTGCTTGAGATCTCGATCTCGATCTCTCTCTCTCTCAAAATAAATAAACTTAAAAAAAAAAAAAAAACCCACCCCCCAGACACAAATGTAGTTTATAACAGAGCTAACACTGCAGCTTAAAAAGACAGGGCAGATGCACTGATAAATGGTATGTGCTGTATGTGACCCATCAGTTACCCCTGTGTACAGGATGAAGCTGAATCCCGATTTATCATCATACATATCTTCAACCAACTCCAAGTAGAACAAAGGCTTAAATGTGAAAGGCAACACCACAGTTTTTACAATAGGGGAGAGCATGTTTACAGTCAGCTTAGGAGAGGATTTTTAAAAAAAAATTTTTTTAACGTTTATTTCGTTTTTTTTTTTTTTTTTTGAGAGACAGAGTGAGTGAGTGAGTGAGCAAGTGAGGGGCAGAGAGAGAGGGAGACACAGAATCCAAAGCAGGCTCCAGGCTCTGAGCTGTCAGTACAGAGCCTGACCTGACGCTTGAACGCACAAGCCTGACCTCAGCCGGTCAGATGCTTAACCAACTGAGCCACTGAGGATCCCTGAGAAAAGATTTCTTCAACAAGACAGGGAAAAATGTAAACTACGCATACAAAAATAATAATAAATTAAGAAGATTTGTTCCCCCAAAATTCCACACCATAAAGTGCTAAGCCAAAAACTATCAAAGAGTTAGTATTCAGAATATAGTACTCTTACAAAGAAGGGGATGCATTTTAAACCAACGCTGAGAAAATGGGCAAAAGGCTTGAATGGGCACAAAATTGAAAAGGAACAGATCACTGGGCATGTGAAAAGATGTCAACTCTTTTAACCACTGGGGAAATGCAAATTCAAATCTCAGGGAGGGACCTCTACTAACATGGTGGGAAACCTCACTGAAACTAAAGTGAGACAATTTTTTTTTTTTAAATGTTTTTTTTATTTATTTCTAGGAGAGAGAGGGAGACAGCGTGAGCAGGGGAGGGTCAGAGAGAGAGGGAGTCACAGACTGAAACAGGCTCCAGGCTCTGAGCTGGCAGTCAGCACAGAGCCCGACGCGGGGCCCGAACCCACGAACCGCGAGATCATGACCTAAGCGAAAGTCGGACGCTCAACCGACTAAGCCACCCAGGCGCCCCGAAAGTGAGACAATTTCTTAAAACTCAAAAACCTGGGTGGCTCAGTCGGTTAAGCGTCCGATTTCGGCTCAGGTCATGATCTCACAGTTCATGGGTTCGAGCCCCACGTTGGGCTCTGTGCTGACAGCTCAGAGCCTGGAGCCTGCTTCAGATTCTGTGTCTCCCTCTCTCTCTGCCCCGCCTCTGCTCGTGCTCTGTCTCTCACTGTCTGTCAATAATAAATAAATGTTAAAAAAAAAAATTTAAAAAAACAACTCAAAAACCCATGAGGACAAAGTTAATGGGGGAAAAGAATCCATTTTCTTTCTTTCTTTTTTTTTTTAATTTTTTTTGTTTTATTTATTTCTAGGAGAGAGAAACAGCGTGAGCAGGGGAGGGTCAGAGAGAGAGGGAATCACAGAATCCGAAACAGGCTCCAGGCTCTGAGCTGGCAGTCAGCACACAGCACGACGCGGGGCTCGAACCCACGAACCGTGAGATCATGACCTAAGCGAAAGTCAGATGCTCAACCAACTAAGCCACCCAGGCGCCCCAAAAAGAATCCATTTTCAAAGCTAGAAGACAGACTGGACCAGCAGTGACTGCTTAACCAATGTGAGGAAGAAGAATCTTCAGCCGACAGGGAGGCAGAGCAAGGCGTAACCTAACTGACACCGGATCCCCCAAGGGCTTGGGAACCGGCTGCAGCACGTCTGTCCATCTGTCCAGGAGCGGGTTGAGAAGAGTGAGCTCATCAGGAGCACTGGATGGGGCTGCGTGAGAGCCGTGGGATCCCTTCATCTCCTCCAGCTCCAAAGAAGACTGTTCATCTCTAGGCAGAGTCAGACTGCGGACCCAAGGGACCCAACACACACAAAGGCACCACACCAAAGACAAGGGATGCAAGCGACACTGACACCCACCTCCCCCACCGTCTTCTCCCCAGGGGGCTCCCAGACTACTGGCAACCATCCTTTACCCGCCCGCACAACCCCCAGACTAGAGGGAAAAGGGTCTTCTCTGCGGAACCAGATGAGCTTTAGATGGAAAGATACTGACATGTGTCCACCCAGCAATCAGCATACCCACATTCCCCCACACAGAGATGGGCCAACAAGGCCTCCTGACACACTCAGATATTGCAACAACCTTTAGCCCAGTGCTCTCCAACTGGAGGTAAGCCTCTAACATGCAAACCAGATACCAAGAAGGACAAAAAGAGTGGTTACACCTTGGGGAGCAAGACATGCTGTGGGAAGGCACGGTGATGCTCTTCTTCCCCCCCCCCCCCCTCGCCTCCCACCGCCGGACCTGCCTGCAGAACCACATAACTGATAAACAGAAAACCTTGAAAACACGCATGTCAAACTCACCCAGCAGGGCAGTGTGGGGGGTGGGGCGGGGAAGGGAGAAGGAGGGAGAGAGAAAAAGAAAAGGAAAGAAGCAAAGAAAGGAAAGAGAAGAAAGAAGCCTGCTCGGAGTATAAACCAGCATGGCCACTCTGGAAAACCATTTGGTGCTGTGGGTTCATATCAAAGATGTGCCCAAGTGATGGGCCAGCAATTTCACTCCTAGGTAAGCGCACTAGATAAATTCCCGAGCATGGCAACTACAGATACGTATCATAAGGTCAAAGAAACACACTTTGTACAAGAAGAAACAGAGAAGGAAAACAGGCTAAAGCCCATCCAGAGTCGGGCTGGGTAAACACACTGTGTATTCAGGTCAGAGTATCTCAAACCAGTTAAAAACAAAAACAAAAACAAAAACAAGCACAAAGAGATTATCTGAGGGAAAAAATATGGAGATGAATCCTTTCTACAAATTTCAAAAAAATGGCACAAGTTGTTTAGGTATACAAATATACAGTAGTGAAATGATAAAGACCATCAGAGTAACATCATCTTCTTAGAAGAAAACAAAGGGACACACGGGATACTTTGAAAGTAGTTATTATGCTCCACAGTAATGCTCTTCTGCCAACAGATAGTCTTCTTGGTATCAAATAAAAATTTAATTTTTAAATCTTTAATGAAAACATTTTTTTATTTTTATTTTTTTTAAATGTTTTATTTATTTCTAGGAGAGAGACAGCATGAGTAGGGGAGGGTCAGAGAGAGAGGGAGTCACAGACTCTGAAACAGGCTCCAGGCTCTGAGCTGGCAGTCAGCACAGAGCCCAACGCGGGGCTCGAACCCACGAACCGTGAGATCATGACCTGAGCGAAAGTCGGAAGCTTAACCAACTAAGCCACCCAGGCGCCCCTGAAAACATTTTTTTTAAAAGCTAGGCAGAACTCTTGGCCCTTGAAGGTCCAGATTACTTCTTCCACAAATGAGTTACGACGACTGTGGGAATTTAGATAAAGCAAAGATCTTTTTTATATATGACTATACCGAGTGTACTTCAGCTTAGAAAATTCAAGGCTGTTTAATAATTAAAATGGTCAAAGCTAAAGAAGGAAGAACACTGGCCAGATCCCCACCTAAGTAAGCTGAAGAGATCGCTTATTTTTCATTTTCTTCTGCTGAGTTTTCCACTGGAAGAGGAAAACAAGACTGGGGACATCTAGGGGCTCAGCTGGTTGAGCTTGATTGACTGGTTGACTCTTGATTTTGGCTTGGGTCATGATCCCAGGGTTGTGGAATCAAGCCCCACATTGGGCACCATGCTGAGTGTGGAGCCTGCTTGAAATTCTCTCTCACTCACACACTCTCCCTCCTCTCCCACTCATACTCTGGTGCTTGCTCTTTAAAAAAAAAAAAAAAAAAAGACTCTGAAAGTGTCTAGACTTAGAGCGGTCATTTAATCAACAGTTTTTTTAAAGGTTTATTTATTTTAGAGAGAGAGAAAGTGAGCACAGGGGAGGGAGAATCCCAAGCAGGCTCCATGCTGTCAGCACTG